AATGTTGTGTAAGCCGAAGATGGAGTGACGTCGGTGAAGGTTTTCAGGGACGCCGCCCGCAGAGAAGCAGTAAAGGAGACAAGGAGAGTCAGGAAAGAGAAAACAGCAGGGGTATCGAATGGAAAGCGATGCACATCGCCGAAAGGTGTATAGAAACGCTCAGAAAGAGAGTCATTCGCATCGTAAGCAGTGGACGACACGCACGAAGACGCGTAAGGCTTGATGCCTCGCGGTGATAAGGCGTTGGTGGCCAGCAAGGCAGTGTAGCTTGGCGGTGAATGTTGGGCAGGTGACTCGCGCTGGACGTCCAGCTCACAAAAGCCCAGGCGGGGGCGGGGTGCTTGATGACTCAGCTTCAGCTGCTGCGGGCAGGAACCTTCAGGGCGGGCGGGCAGTGACATGCTCTCCCTCCCGCCTTCCGCCTTCGGGTGGTCGATTCAGCTGTCAAATCTGGAAGAGGCGTTGACCTTGTCACCTTACCCATGAACCAACTTTGTCGTCGAACCCTGAATCACCAAAATTCCAGTCACCATTGGCCGGCTGACCGAGCCACGCAGCGGAATGGTGGAAGCCCGGAAAACCTGATGTGGTGCAGCCAGATGTTTGGACAAAACAGGGCAGAGATGTCTTGCAGAGATTAACTCGCAGCGATCTGCCGCGCCAAGTGACTACACCATCGGTTCGCTTGCGCTTACTTCAAATCCGACGACCTCCCTTCGACAACGAATTCCTTGGATGCCGACTTGGCATCGGGAATCTGGGCCGGCGCCGGTTCAGATGACCATTTACTTAAGGACAACATTCCAGCTCGTGTCTGGATCTTTCGTGCGGCAGTTGCCGACTGTGAAACCTTGTTGTGCCATCAAGTAACCTCACGTCTGCCAACTTGTTCAACCTTGGAATTTGCGCAGCTTTTCTTCCAAGTTGGAAGAGGACCAAATCCCAACTGGGCATACCAGCTGAGTGGCCAAGTGGTTGTCCAAGTCAGACGAGCTGATGACGTTCAGGACGGAGACGCTGTTTCAGTAATGCATGAATCCCGCCCGCATCCCGACCGGCACCCCCATTGGGCTTTCCGTTGACTGGTCACATTAAACTTTGCTCCGGCGCTGCCAATTCTGACATGGACAAACCACAATCAAGAACGCCTATTTTTCGTCGCATCTCGCTGGCAACTTCAGATGATGGGTCTCTTCGCTGAGAAAACCGAAACGACGGGTTCACGAAGGTCGGTTACGGAGCCGGAGACGCATGCCCTTTAGGTGAACCCTCCCATGACGCCTCCCGTGACGACTCCGGAAGTTCGGCATCACGACTTGGTCAGCTTTGCGGGCAGGGGTCGCATGCCCGACTCACAGTGTTTCGGAAGCCAAGCATACGGCCACCACACCGGGCCGACGTCTTCAGAAGACAGTGCCCGCGAAGAATCTATTTGAGATGGCATGCCTGATCGACTGTCGCAGGTTGTCTACGGATGCGCCTCTTCAATGGCGGTCGACCCGGTCTCCTACCAGTAAAACTCGAACCATTCTGTACCCCTGGTCTCTCGTCTCCGCAGACATGGCGGATTCTTCTTTTCTATTTGCGATTCGTAATCGCTTGGGTTGAGATCTCCCACTTGCGACTGCGCAATCGCGCATTTCGAAACGGTCTCCCCGAAGCTGATCTATGCGTGGGCAAGATGGAGAATCACACTTGGCAAAAGCTTGTGTGCATATCTTCCCTTGGCTCTCCGCAATTCAAGCGTTGTTGGCTCCATGCTTCCTTCTGCTTAGACGACTTCTTCGCTTTTCGCTTGTTTCCCGTATAGAGCTCCGTGAGCCTTAATCGCCGGGCTTCATTCCTTCGCCAGGCCTTCTCTTCTCTAGGTGACCATGCGGTTCGCCAACTCGGCTGCGATTGCAGCATTCGTTCCGTTCTTTGCCCATCTTGCTGATGCGGCTCCTTCAAAGAAGTCCGATATCTCCAGGTTTGAGATTTCCACTCTAGGTGGCGGGGCTTTCCGGATAGAACAGGTTCCCAACCCCGATTTTTACTATGGAAATCGACGAGGACCCATTGCCCTGGCCAGAGCCTATTCCAAGTTCAACCATCCCATTCCGGATGATCTTCTAGGTCTCATTGATCAGATTCTGGGAGAACTAGGCCTGTTGAACGGATCGAAAGGCGGACACAAAGGAGGAAAGGGAAAGGGAAATGGGAGTGGGAAGGGTGGTAACAACGGCTCTGGAGGCTCAAAGGGCAACGGCACAACCACAACGCCGGGAGCGGGAGGCAATGGCACCACAGGAAATGGTCAGTTTTCAACTCTATATGTGCCTAAACCATGCTGATGGTCATTAGGTGGTGAGGTCGCCGCCATCCCGGCCCAGTTCGACAGCCAGTACCTCTGCCCGGTACAAATTGGCACACCTCCTCAGACCCTGAACCTCAACTTCGACACCGGCTCGTCCGACTTGTGGGTGTTCAGTAGTGAGACGCCTGCAAGCCAAGTAGGGGGCCAAACGATCTACAAGATCAAGGACAGTTCAACCGCCAAGGCTGTTACTGGCGCGACATGGTCCATCTCGTACGGTGACGGCAGCTCATCCAGCGGTTCCGTCTACACGGACAAGGTGACCATCGGCGGGGTCACAGTCGACAGCCAGGCCATTGAGTCTGCCAATACAGTCTCGGCATCCTTCACCAGCAACCAGAACCAGTCAGGACTCGTTGGTCTGGCCTTCGGAACCATTAACACCGTCACACCCACCAAGCAGAAGACATTCTTTGAGAATGCCTTGAACAACCTCGCCATGCCGCTTTTCACTGCCAACCTCAAGAAGGGCGCAGGTATTTGAAACCTCTCTCCAGTCACCAAGTTCGCGAACTAATCATCCCAACAGCTGGTAACTACAACTTTGGCTACATCGATACGACAGAGTTCACCGGCGACATCGCCTTCGTCCCAGCCAACACAACCCAGGGTTTCTGGCAATTCACCGCCCAAGGCTTCTCCGTCGGCTCAAACGGCAGCGCCGCAACCTCCGCGCCCCACCAAGCCATCGCCGACACGGGCACGACCCTGATGCTCCTCCCAGACAACATCGTCTCGGCGTACTACAAGAACATCGCCAGTGCTCAGTTCGACAACACCAACGGCGGCTACGTCTTCAACTGCAAGGACTCGATCCCGTCCTTCACCGTCGATATGGGCACCTACAAGGGTGTAGTCCCCGGCGAGTTCATCAAGTTCGCCCCCGTGGACGGCCAGACAATTGAGACGTCGACGACGTGCTTCGGCGGGATCCAGAGCGCGGCGACGCTGCCCTTCGCGATCTACGGCGATGTGTTCCTGAAGAGTCAATTTGTCGTCTTTAGTTCTAAAAGCGGAACCAACGAGCTTGGATTTGCGAACAAGCCGTTGTGATAGACCATAGACCATGATATAGCAGTCGGGCAAGGCATCGCGAACAGCTGGGTGCCCCGGCATAGATGGCGTTGTTTGGATGGTTTATGCATTGTTCTCACCACATGTCAATGAAATGTTACGACAGCGTTCAGGTTTGAAGATAGATACAGAAATAAACATACATAATGTTGCCTATTTGCTACTGTCCACTACCCCGCTGTCTCATCGTCGACCACTTGAACTATTAGTTACGTTAATACCAATCACGATGCCACAAAGCCCTGCAGAAGCACTCTTCAAGTAAGCTTCCATAGCGTATATGTACCGGTGCAGCCTGGGATCGGATATGACGATCAGGCAACCAATGGGCTCTCTTTCACTTTTTTCTTTCATTAAACAATGATCGCGAGCTCTGTTCAGCAGCCACCAGATAGTTATGACAGAACATTACAACGTCGAGATCGAACCCTTGCTCTTGAAATCTGTCGTCCGCCAACAGATTCGTCGTATTCTTCCTCAACAAATTCGGAATACCTAGACAGTTCGCAATGCCTTCACACGCAGGACGGCGGCAAGGCTTGGTACTTAGAAAAGTCTACACGTATCGATATTTTGACAACGGAATGTGGTCCCTTTCCAACGGGATTCAACGTAGGCTTGAATTTGTTTGCCGATTATGGCTTAGATAACGTCCATCCTTCTTATATAACAATCTCGATCGCAATGAACGGCAGAAGAAAGCTCTCTCCTATTGCAAGGCTCAGCTGAATCTCACCGTACAACTATCTGGTCAGCTTGTTCCAGCGGCTCATTGAGTGGGAAAGCCTCTGGGCTTGTTCATCTGCTTTTAGATTATGTGAATGATGATTGTGAACATGTTCATGTCTTGCGGCAAAGTTGTTCGGAGGTTGCATCAGCTTCTATCGACGACAGGACTTCCACCACACGCCAGACATCGTCGACCGACGTTGTCGTCGCGAGATTTGCCTCAGTCCCCTTGCCAACGCCCGGCCGTTCTCGTTGTGTATATGAGGAATCCTTTGGTAGATGACATGAAGTCTCAAAACAATAATGTGAAAGGACTCCGTGAAAGCATTGATCTCCATACTTTCGAGTCGTGTCTGGAGTCTCGCCGCCTTGAGGGCAGAGAAGAGTGTGAATCTGGGCATGTTCTCGGGGATGACCTTCGATTCATAATCTCTCCTTATGTATTCAGCCGGTTGTTTCAAAGACAGAGACCATGCGGGATGATACATCGTCGTTATGTGGTGGCAATCGGTTTGCTCAACAGCTATCTCACCGGTACGGGCTGGAGGCAAAAGATTTGGCCACGAGAAGTACCTGACAATTCCCGGTGGCAGAGATTGCCCTCTTCCATCTTTGATTTTGATACATTTGGCCCATTCCAGTTTAAATACATCTTCAAGCCCCAATTTGGCCTTTGTTGTTCTTACGAAGGGTGCAGTCTTCAGTCAGTCCCCAACGGTGTGCCCACCAATCTGAGACCGGTCGTCGAAGGCACTATCACATACCTAGTCAGCATTTCTCCGACTCTTTTCAGTTTCCCGGACACGTAGACTGACCCATTCGACACAACCCAAGAAGCTTCCTAGTCGAAATCGTAGGCTTGGCTGTTGCACTGAGCGCGCCCGTTGGCAGTAAAGTAGCCAATACACTCGGAGAGGCCGCCGGCGCTGCACTTGACGTCGTCGCCGTACCGCGCGGCGTTCTTGCAGACTTCCTCGCAGCTGTGGGCGTACGTCGAGGTCGTGCAGCAGTGGGACCCGTCCGTGAACTTGCACTGGCAGTAGTCGCAGGCACGTACCGCCAATGCCACGGCTAGCATGGCAAGGACGGATGGGATGAGGCGCACCATGGTGAGATCTCGGTCGAAATGGGATCTTTGAGGGAAGCGAGGTGGGTGAAGGTAGAGATAGACTGATTGTTTTGAAGAGGTGCATCGAGTCTGTGGTCTACAGTAGCTACGGGATCTCTTTCGGCGGCGTGGTGCATACTTTCTTATATATCCAGGTAGCAAATGCTGCTTTTCGTATTCTATACGTCGATATTAGCATCACGAAGTGGCTTGTCCGGTATTAGTTGCTATGTTTCTCGTTTCGAGTCATGTTGATGCTTGTCCATCTCTCGGGTTTGCCCCAGATTCTTCAATTTCTGGAAAGAGGCAGTATTCGGCACGATGTGGGGAAGAAACAGCCCCAAAAGAACAGCCGCACGAGCACGTGGGAGAGATGTTGGTCTGTAATGACTGGAGATGAATGTTGAAGCCCGCGACCAAGCATGTGCCTTGAGATTGTGAGCGGCGAGAAGAATCAGCCATGTTTGACCTGCGGTTGCCCATGGAGTATGGTGCGAAGCGTCATTCCGAGCCAGCGCGGCAATGATGACACATTTGAAGAATCTCTTGGATTGAATTGCATATACGAAGCTGCTGGCTCTACTCTTGCAACCATGTAAGGTGCAGTAAATATATGCTGGCCCTGACCTCGACCACCTGCAACACCCCAACCTAGTCTATCCTGCTGCCACATTTCCCGAAGCCCAAATCTGTAGTGCACGCATGTCTTGGTGATATACGCTAGACGAGCCCCCTCCGCTAACCAACGCCAATGCCTGCCTGCCCCCGGTGACCGCTCTATTTCTGACTGTTCAAGAAACTGAGATACGAGTTCCATCCGATGCTGATGACGTTGACGAACAGGACCCGGTGGTGCAGAGGGACCAGCTTGAAGTTGACCATCTGCACAAAAGGCCAGAGCATGTAGTTGGAGGTGAGCGCCGTCGTGTAGCTCTTCTCGAGCTTCTCCTGGGGAGGGACGCCCTCGAGGACGGCCATGGAGGACAGGAAGACACCGATCATGACCGGGGCGAAGACGCCCTGGTCGACACCGACGCGGGCGAGGATCTCGAGGTTCTTGTTGCGGAGGACGACGTTGTTCTGGAGGAACTTGAACCAGGTCGTGGCGGCGGGGCCGAAGACGGCTGGTGAAGTCAGCATGGGCTTGCTCATCCAGAGATTTCGCTGGGGAGCGGGGCATCAAACTCACTTCCGCCGTAGAGGGCCATGCGGCCGGTGCGAGCCCACTCATGCTTCTCGAGGCCGCGCTTCTCGACGAGCTGCTGGGCGGTGAGGTCACCGGTGGCGAAGAGGATGGCGGTGGTGATACTCTGGGTGAGCAGCGGGCGGGCCGCAAGTCGTGCTTGATACCTGTGGGGACAGTCAGTGATGCGATTCAGCGATATCAATATTGCGATGAGGCTCACCAGCCGAGCATTGTGAAGGTCGTTGGAGATTGGTGGAAAAACCGAGCTGATTGGGCTGGATTTGCGATTCAATCTAGTTAAGAAACGACGCAGAAAAATGAGACGCTCAATAAGACCGAGGGAACTTTGATCAACACAGAATGAAACAGGTCGTGAGCGAGTGAATTGAGGCTGGGCGATGTGAATTGGTCAGTTGGGGAGGGTGAGAGGTGAGAGGCGCGCTTCAAGATTTGGAGGGTGCTGCCCCAGCAAGGAAGGTGGATGACGATCGGTAGCTTCTGTTTGCTGCACGTGACGGCAAAGCTCTTTCCATCTGGCTTGAATGGAGTGGTGCAATCACAAGGAGAGGCGAAAATCAATGGGAATCTAGAACATCTGGAAAAAGAAACGACTTTGATCTGACGGTGAGGCGGGAAGCTCTGGTTTAAGCTCCTACCCAAGACTCAGGGAATATGGGATTTATTACTCGGGGCCATCGCGATAAGGGACTTTTCCTTGCCTCGCAGCCAGATGCTGGATTGGCCACGAGTCGGGATTTCCAAAAGCAGATCTCCGTGCCGATGCGTAATGCAATACTCGGGGTCATGTTCCATCCGGCCAGTCTTCCCCGAAGCCCCACGATGTCCATATCCACAATCTGGGGTGCAGGAATGAGGTTTGGCTCAATTATCATTCCCAAGCTTTTTGATCCCATTCCGCAGCTTGAGCTTTCTGGGTTTCCTTTGCGCGTGGTCGATAGGAAAAAGTCAATCGTGGAAACATAAATACAGCGGACGAAGAGGCGGAGATTTTCGACAGGCAAAAAGCCAACGCGACCTCGTTGTCGCTGCCAGACGCGTCTCGGGCTCGGGGCGTTGCTGGCTTCCGCCCGCCCAGGCGACATCCTTCGCTCACCAGACCTCAGTACTCAATGAGCTATCTCCACTCACAAAATCGACGGCGTCGCTTGCCTAACAATGTTGTCGCTGGAGTCGAAGACAACGACGAGCCCTGTTCTGAGTTCCCCGACATGCTCTTAATACCATCCTCCGACACCAGCACCGATGCAAACCTCAGCCCAATGGATTGCGTCTTCTTCATACCGCTGCGCAAGGCAACGGACACAATGAAAACGATGGATATATCAAAAATTGCACCCACGATGGCCCCGAAGGGCAATCGAGAGAGGTCGACTCCGCGATGTGCAATGCAGGCCTCCCTCTCTGCCGCCCGGATTTCTTGATCCCCAGAAACGGCCAGATAAGGTAAGTATGAAGAAAAGAAAAGAGGAAAAGAAATTTGAAAAGTTGGGAGACTGGCGAGGTTTATATAGATTTTCGCGAGTGGCCCGCAATCAGTAAATTGGTACGTACCCTGGCTGCCTGAGGTGCAGGTGAGGCCTTCCAGGTTACGCCCACCTTCTGCCTGAGGTAGGCAGGCAAGCAAGAGGCAAGAGGCAAGCGAGAGGTTACCTACGGCCGGTGGCAATAGAAGGCGCAAGAAGCTGGTGCCTGGTTTGCCATGTCAAATGAACCTAATGGCTAGATAAAGAGGGCGGCAGGAGCTTTCCTAGAGCCGGGCAGGGGTTGAAGATGGAAGGCACGTATCTCGTGATGACTTCTCAGGCTGCATGGGAAGGACGCAACGGACGGCGCACCTCCCTCAACTACTGAACTGACATCAGGAATGGCAGTCCATCTACAATACGAAAGGGGTTGCATTGAGCCATTATATCCAGGCTCGCCCGTTCGTGACATTGAGATGGGTGAACGAAATCGCCTGTAGACCACATATGGGTATTAGCAGCTTAATGGTCCGGGCACCTCGTCGGTGGTCGTCGTCATTGCGGCTCATCGGGAGCTGCGAACTCCGCGCCAGTCTCGGTGTGGCCTGTGAGCTCCGGTGGTGGGGAAGACGAGGAGAAACTCCGGACGATGGGGAGTAGTAACGTAGATCTGACAAGAACAAACCGACTTCATTCTCGGAACGATAAGTCCGGCATAGGTGATTAGGACTCATCAGCAAATAGTAGTACGTCGACAGAATCACACTTCACACAACGTCGTTGAGCGCAACTTCTCTTATCGTCCACTACCGCGGGAGTGTCCTCGGGTGGGTTCTGACCTTCTCATCAACTCCACCATACTACCAAGCAGGGCCGGGATCCTTCGGGGGCACCCTCTGAGCCGCTGCAACGTTGCAAGCCACACCTAGTGCATGAGTATCTACCGTGCGGCTCTTGACATCTCGGTGGTCGCATTCAGCATACTTCGAACATTTAATCGATCAGGATTCAAGACCACCTCTTGTGTGACCTTCGAGGATCAAAGCGATATCCAACGATGATAGCCTCAAACCTGCTCGAACGCCTCAACCGCGATGGCTTCGTTATTGTTCCCTCGATTGTGTCCGAGGGACAGCTCGCAAAACTCCGGGAGGCAACCCAAGCAGCTACGGCGTTGGCCCGGGCCGGCAAATGGCCCAATGTACGCACACTCCCGAAGCAGTTTCCGCCATGGCCGCTCGCCGGCCCTGAGCCGCCAGCGGAGGGCATCTGGGGCGTGCAGGGAATGATGCACCCGGACATGCCCAACAACGATGTCTTCATCCGAACGTATTTCTCCGATGCTGTCATTGAGCCAACCAAGCAGCTCTTGCAGTGCACTGACGATGACCTCGTCATGGAGCTTTTCAACTTGCTCATCCGTCCGGACCACGATTTCGAGCTGCGATGGCATCGAGACGACATCCCGGCGACGGCCACTGCTGACGAGGAGCTTGATCGTCTCAATAAGCCAGCCTATTCAGCGCAGTGGAACCTCGCCTTGTATGACGACGCTAGCCTTATCGTTGTGCCTGGATCACACACCAGAGCCAGGACGGACGTGGAGCGCAACGCGGATCCATACGAGAAGGAGATTCCGAACCAGCTGCTGGTGGAGCTCAAGGCGGGAGACATTGTGTTCTACAACAACAATATTCTACATCGAGGGGCCTACGTTGCTAGCAAGGAGCGAATGACACTCCATGGAAGCGCCGGCCATGTGAACGGTAGCAATCTGCGGGCGCGTAATGTATTGCAACACGGACTGAAAGGCTGGGCAGATAAGATTGACCTCGGTGTGCTGGACGAGAAGGAGCGGGCTCGGGCTGAAAACATGCGGAGAATGCTTGTCAAGCTGGGCCAGGAAGCGGGGGAGGTGGGATATTCCCTCGAGGGGTAGGAGAGATAAAGAGATAATGGATCGTCTTACAAGACAATGTGCCGAGTCCATGCAAGTAATGCTGCACTTCCAAGGACGAGAGGCTGGGTTGTGTTGGAGACTGACCAGCGGTGTGTCACAGCTAGCTGGGCGGTGACTTGGAATTGCGCGAGTGTTGGTCATGCACAATCGGCGCTTGTGATCCCGTGACCGTCTACCCTGAGCCCATCCCCAATAACAGTAAAAGGAGGACCATGTTCGGTGAGAGGTTCTGGAACAAACATTCGCGTCATTCCTTGAGAATTAACAACCGCTGCCGTCTTCCAGACTGAACGTTGTTTCATCCCAAGCTCAACAGCAATTTACACAGCGCTTAGAAGGGCCCGGGAGAAAGGCGAATGTGGTCTGTGCG